AATAAACGTTGAAAAAAAAATTTTTTTTTAATAAAATAAATAAATAAATAAATAAAACGTCAAAAAATATTTTTTTAATAAAAAAAAAAAATCAGTGTATTTCCAAGGCATTTAGTAAAATGAATCAGGTGAAGAACATTGTTCATCATTAGAGAAGCTACCGTAGTGTCAGTATAGTTCACGAGTATCTGCACAGACAGGCTTAAATTTTGCCCTGGTGTGTGCTTCTGGAAGTTGAGCTTGGGAAAGCAGTCGGCCAAACCTCTTAGCACCACTGGTGCTTACCAAGCAAGCCTCGTGGAAGGAGGAGGCTGTTGACGAGCCCATGTACTCCCGTGAACAGTGGCCGGTGGAAAATATTTTGGCATTGTGTCAGACCTAAGAAAATAGGTAAGAGCTTATGTGTTGTTGTAGTATAAACAGGAAAAGTCGAGCTGTTTTTGTTTTTGCTCGCAGCCTTGGGTGAGTCTGGGACTGTAGCTACTTTAGAGAGATTTGCTGCTTTCTTTAAGGTTCCTGAAGGGAAAAGAGGAAAGCTTACATTTTCCACAAGTATCAAGCATCCTAAGTCTTGAAAGTTTCCCTGCCCCAGCAGCGTAATCAGTTTTAGGCATTTGGCATCCATGAACGCCCAGGCTGCAGGTGCCGACAACCCAGCGGGGCAGGAGGCAGTGCCCGTCCCCCGGATGAGGGAAGATGCACCGCAGAGCAACACGTGAACGTTTGGTATGCAAGAAGGTGTTGAGTGGCCTGTGGGAAAGGGGGCAATGGGGAGACAGGCGGATTGTTCTTTTCTGTAGGGGAAGCCTCACTGATGACCAGCCAGTGCAGCTGCCCTTCTTCCCCTTTCCCCAAAACTTCTGCTCTTCCTGGCTCCACTCCAGCAGTTGGTTCTTCTTTATTTCATAGGAAGTTTGTTAGAATTATGATTATATTTTTTTTTCTTTTTTTGCTAATGTGTTTCACCAAATAATTATTATTGTTTTACACATCACATTATAGATCTCTCCCAGGTGCGGTGTGAAAGACTTTACCATGTTTCTTAAAGGAATGTTTCTTTTAACAGTCATGATTTTTGTTACACTGCATGTGGTTTTTCAAATATACATGCTTTGCTTTTATATCAAAGAGGTCTAAGGGCACCTGGGTGGCTCGGTCAGTTAAGTGTCCGACTTTGGATCAGGTTATGATCTCACGGTTTGTGAGTTCAAGCCCCACATCAGGCTCTGTGCTGACAGCATGGAGCCTGCTTCACACCCTTCTACCTCCCTCTCTCTGCCCCTTCCCAGCTTGCATGCACGTGCTCTCTCTCTCGCTCTCTCTCTCTCTCAAAAATAAATATTTAAAAAAAGAGAGAGAGAGAGAGAGAGAGAGCCTATACTTGAGCCCTTCTGATTTGGTGCTAATGAAACAAGGAAGGAGAAGACCTTTTTTTAGAGCTCTGTTCAGATGTGTTTTCAGAGCAGAGATTAGAAATTTCATTTTATATTTTAAAATTACAATTCTATACCTATTCAAAAGTAGAAAAACTGCATTGCGTTCCTATATACCTATTTTTCAAATTCATTGATCGTTGAGATTTTTCCACACTACTCATCTTTTCCTGTCTTTCCTTTGTAAGAATATTATAAAGCAAGTCCCAGGCCCTGTGCCATTCATGTTGTGTTCAGTGTGCCTCCTTGAGTAGTGCTTTCATTTTCTTAACACAGCCACGGTGTCACTGTCACACCTGACACAGCTAGCCATTCTTTGTACCCACTCCTGTCCAGTCCTTTTTCGAATTCCCTCATTCATCCGGAAAGTACCTTTAAAAGTTTTTGTTGAATCTGGATCTAAGCAAGATTCGTGCATTAGCTTTGGTTGATAACGCTTCTTTTAATGTAAACCAGTCTCTGCTTACTATTTTTATTTCCCATTCCATGAATTCTTTGTGGAAGTTATTTCCTTTTAAAATGCCACACTCGTGTGGTTTAAGGGGTAAAGAACATCGGTCTCGTGGTTGCAGTACAAGTAAAAGTATAGCCTGAAATCACTTTGTGTGAGGGAGCCAGTGAACGGATTATCACCTGCACAGAGCATGAAGTAGCAAAAGCCTCCCTCTAAATACTGGGAAAAGTAGTATTTGAGTTACATTCTTTGTCCTCTGTGGTAGTATTCTTATCCTTTTATTTCTCAATATTGACAGCTGGTTTATGAGACCGTGGCACTATAAAAGTTGTCTTAGATTCAGGAGACTCAACTCCACCAAAAGTGACCTCGTGATCACGGGCCACTTACAGCTTGCATGTGCTGACTTGGGTCTGTTTCAGCATTTCTTGGGTGTGTTTCCAGACCTTTCAAAAAGTTGACCCGTACCTTTCTTAGGATTGTACTCCAGTGTGATTTCAACAGAAACTTAGTCTCCCACGTTGTGTTTTCCTGTGTAAAGCGGAAGCGCTGGGGAGTACGGAGGCCAAGGCCGTACCTTACCAGAAGTTCGAAGCACATCCTAATGACCTCTACGTGGAAGGACTGCCCGAAAACATTCCTTTCAGAAGTCCCTCGTGGTACGGAATCCCAAGGCTGGAGAAAATCATTCAAGTGGGCAATCGAATTAAGTTTGTTATCAAAAGGTAAGATGATGATCTCCAGAAACAAATGTAGTGCTGTCCTTAAGAAAAGATGTATAAATTTGATGAAAGCGGGTCTTTTATTGCTCTCGGTTGGACTTACTCTCCGTATTAAAACTTCAGGTGTGTTCGTGTAGATTCATTCCTTGTGCAGGTGTTTATTTAGTACCAGGCACCAGAGAGACAAAACCGGGCCCAGCAGGAAGCCTGTCCTCGGGAGGCTTATTTTAGAGATACATGCAATAAGGTGTTACTAGGTGCTTTGGGGGAGGAGGTAAGGGTGGCAGGGAGGTTGGACAGTTGTGCACGAACAGCAGTGGAAAGGGGGCTTCAAATGAAGGAAACAATAAAAGTAGAGAAGGGAAGTGTCACGTAACCGCACCATTCTGGGTGGACGTGGTGGTGCCTTGTAGGTGTGGCATGGTAAGCCAGGCCGACGTGGGCGCGCGGATGAAGGCCTTCTGTCCTACACTGTCAGCGGAGTAATTGAAAGGTTTTAAAGCCAGTTCCACTTAAAATAATTTGGAGGGGTTCCTGCAGGAGGCTCAGTCAATATAGCGTGCAGCTCTTGATCTTAGAGTTGCGAGTTCAAGCCCAGCGTTGGGTATAGAGCTTCCTGTAAAAATAAAAATGGTGAGGGCACATGGGTGGCTCAGTTGGTTAAGCATCTGACTTCAACTCAGGTCATGATCTCTCGGCTTGTGGATTTGAGCCACACATCCGGCTCTGAGCTGTCAGCACAGAGCCTGCTTTGGATCCTCTGTCTCTCTCTGCCCTTCCCCCAGTCATGTTTGCTCCAACACACACACTCTTGTGTTTCCCTCTCTCTCAAAAATAAATACATTTTAAAAAAATTACTGTAAATAAAAATAATAATTTGGATTTGCATTTTAAAAGGATTCTTCTGGCTTGATTTTGAAGGTAGCAGAATGGATGATTGGGGGGCAGGGAGAGGATACAGAAGGGCTGTCTTTACTACAGGAGGGTGCGATAGGGGTAGAATCCATAGGTCTGGCTTACTCTCTGGGGCCCGTGCATTTGTCTACGTGATCACTGGGTCACACCGTGTCGGGGAGAGGGATCTTTAGGACAACACACATAGGTATTTCGAGCTTTATTAGGAGGGCGTTCCTCTGAGGTTTTAGAAACGGCAGGTTGAACTGTTTGGGGCCAAAAGCCAACTGTTTTGCAAGGTTGAGTACCTAATGCCTTTGAAGACACACAGGTTGTAAACCTGAAGCTGTGCAAATTGCTGTTTTCAAAATGATCGCGTCCTCAGAACGATTTTTCCCCCACTGGAAATGAAGGCGGGATGATCCATGCTGGAAATCGTTGGCAGTGCACAGCCTCGTGGGGAGGGCCTTCAGGGTGTTCCCGCGCTCCCGTTACTAACCTCCGCCGCGTTCTTACAGACCGGAGCTTCTGACTCACAGTACTACTGAAGTCACTCAGCCGAGAACGAATACTCCAGGTAAGATGGTTGCGAATCCCTTGGAAAAACTGGATCAGTGTTTTTTAAGCTTTTTGACGATCTTTTAAAGTGATGTACTTGTCTTTCCTCCCCTCCCCACCCCCCCAAATCATACGTGGACACTTGACACTCACCGTCCTCTGGATTTATCAGCACAAACTCAGGGAGTTCGGCGGTGTGTTTATTAGATCGGTGGGGTTCAGTAGACGTATAATGTGCCTCACAGATGAAGCCACGTGTGTCATTTTGAATTTTCTGGTGGCCGGATGTGACGTGTGTCATTCTGGCGTTTCTGGTAGCCCGACCCGTGTGGGTAAACACACGACCGGGCGAATCTCCGGCGCATACGTTGCACTGGGAGCGCATCTCACCGCGGCGGCCACATTTCAAGTGCTTGGCTGCCACGTGTGGCCGGTGCGGCCGACCGTGCAGATCCCAGCCGTCATCTTTATTCGCGCAGCCTGTTGTCCTAACGGCACGGCTGTGATCGCAGCAGCTGCACTGACCCCGTAGCCCAGCAGAACTGTGGGCTCTCCGGCTCAGCTGTGTGAATGGTTTTCTTTTCTCCATTGGAGCTATAAGGCAGCCTTTATTTCTTTGCCATCTTTTTGTTGGCCGCTGCATAAGGCCAGGAAAAGTGACCCCAGCTCACACGTCTTCTACAGTGTTACAAACTTCTGTTGCCAAGAACTAGTGGCCGTTTCTGAACTTGGCCAGCTAATTGTTCTGGTAAATATTGCGGTATTTACCATACATGCTATGGTATACAAGATACCTGTACTAAACTACAGATCCTTCAGGGGCGCCTGGCTGGCTCAGTGGGTGGAGCCTGTGACTCTTGATCTTGGGGTTGTGAGTTCAAGTCTCACTTTGGGTGTGGAGTTTAGTTAAAAATAAAATATTTTAAAACAATTAATTAATTAAAAAATAAAGGTCAACATACTGATCCCTCAGCTCTGAGAGTACCTGGGGGCAACTGGTGAAGGTCAGCCAGTAAGCCGGCTATGTTGTAAAGTCATTTGTGTTTATAACCACGTGCAAAGGGATTGAGAAATACTGTACAAGGGAAACAGAATTCTCCTGTGCCCCAAATCCTGCGGGGGAAACAGTGTGATCAGTTGAGCATCAAGAATCCACATGACGACCTCCTCAGCATGCTGTTGATTTAGGCAAAGAGACAGTATTGGTAATGACCTGAAGATTGGAGATGACTTAGACTTTTGCTGAGGGAAGTAATGGAAAGAAAGTATTCCCCAGGGTCGAACCGGATTAACGTGGATTAGCATGAATGTGATGGAAGTCTCTGTATGAGTCTTCGTTTCTCCGGGCAGATGTCAATTCAAGGTTGTGATTAATGTGATCACTTTTTTTTTTTTTTTTT